ACACAGGCTGGTGTGCTTCTTCCATGTGGGCTTTGTTGCTTCTCAGCTAGATGACCACTTGTTTATCTTCAAGCCTTTAAGATCCCTGACGCTACATCTTTTGTTAGCCGGGCACCATCAGCTTTCTTCACCACATTTGCTTATGCACCTGCTTTGTTGTGTTGGGAAGGCAAGCATCATGGAATGCCAGTTTAATAGAACAAAGTGTTCTTACATTGAGGGAGTACTTGAGTAAAGGCCCAATGTCCATCTGCTACCTTAATACTAAACCTATAAATATATGCAGATCTATCTATTTCCCAATCATCATATATAAATATATTTACATATGTACATGCCTGTATTTAGATTTCTATAAATTCCCTCTCCAAAGAGATTTTATTAAATTAAAAGGAATCATATCATTCTCTTGACTAAAAGATTTCAACGACTTTACAGTTTCTTTCCAAACTTTACTTTCTCCTGCAAGATTTTGTATCATCTGGCCTATCTCCATTTCCAACCTCATCTCTTAGAATTCCCTCCACTTGTATACTGTCTTCCAGATTCTTGGGCACAGACTCCCTTGCTTGTATTCATGTCTTTTCATATGCTTTTGATCTGCCTGGAATTTTACTTTTTACCCCTATGTTCTCATTACCTCCCTCTTTGAAAGAACACTAATATCCAAAGTTATTTAAAATAAACAATTCATTTGTTTTTCTTTCATGGTTCCTTGTTTTCTTTATAATGGTTGTCATGATCACATTACTTGTCTATTTCCTTTTTTTTTTCTTCTTTCCCTAACTGCCTACTACAATGTATGCTTCCCAAGAGCAGGAACCAGGCTTCTCTATTTCCTCATTATAGTAGAAATCAATAGATCATGGTTAAATAAATGAAAGAGGTAGCTAAGAGTTGTGTCTTTCTTAAATTGTTAGTGTGGGCAGCTAGGAGGATGATGGTTCTACTCACCAAGACAAAGAGACTGAAAGGAAGACGAGTTTGAAAAGGAAGATAAATTTTATCTTAAAACACAGTGAATAGTAAGCTCACAGGTTATGATTGTCTGGTTTACAGACAACTTGTTCTTGCTTTTCCTCTGAAACGGTTGAAGCAATTCCGACTCAGCATCTTCATCACAATCACCTTCACTTGCTGCACATGCAGCTTGTAAATCATTGAAAAGACTTCAAACTAAAAGGCTAAGAACCATATTATCTGTTCTGTCTTACCTACAAATTCAATTTAAGGATAAGCCTAGGACCTGATCTTCTCTGTTCCTAACCCAGTGACTGCTTGTACCTATGAAATAGTCCAGTGGTGATGACTAGTTGGTTACCAAGTAGAGTGCTGAAGCTCAAGAATCAGGGCAACCTATAGCCATCGAATTGGTTCTGACTCATGACCCTACATCACAGTGTAGAACGGCCCCATGGGGTTTCATAGGTCTTATTCTTTACAGGAACAGATTAGATTGCTATGCTAGGTTTTTCTCCCAAGGTGGATTCAAACCACTAACCTTTCACTTGGCAGCCAAGTGCTTATCCACTGTGCCACAAGGTCTAAGTTAGATAAATATAGATTTGGAACTTTCAGAATGTAAATGAAGGGGAAGCAAAAGGCTTCATGACAAATTCATCCCTGACTGCTTGGAAGAGCCTACCCAAAGCACTGAATTAAGGACCAAGACTCAGCTGGAAAAGATTGTGCTGATTATTGACCTCTGGTATGAACTTGGGAGTTAGAGGTAGAGCACAAATCAAAACGTTATGTATTCCTTCCCTGAGCTAAAGGATCTCAAATTTTCATCAGAATGTTTAATTTTACATTAAGCCAAATTAATGAAACTAGTTGAGCAGGTTACATCAATCAACTAAGGTAAAAGTATTTATTAACATGCAGGTAGTTACATTTTACTTGATTATTAGAAATTATTTGTAAATTACTGACATTACTGCCACATCACTGAAATTGTCATTCTCGGACTATCTTTTTAAAAATATCACATTGAATGATATAATACATGCATCCTCCATCCCCCCATTACTATTGTGTGGATACCAACTCATCCAGACCTTATAGATACAGTGCTAGTGATTTACAGATGTGCTAAAAATGTTAGATGCTTCATATTTTTGGATATGTTTCACCTCGAAGTAGCAATTTAAGAACTTCAAAACAATATTTTCTCTGAATTAGATCTGTGTTGTTTTATAATGTTCTTTCAGTCTTGATTGTTGAGTGTTTCTGCTAAGAGATTGGTAGATATAAAACACTAAAAAGTTCTATCAAAAGAAATATACATTTTTAAAAAAGAAATATACATTTAAAAACCTAGTTTTGTTTAGTACAAATGTAAACCTGGTTTAGTTCTAGGTACCCTTGGGCTACTAACCACAAGGTCAGCAGTTCAAAACCACCAGCTGCTCTGAGGGAGAAAGACAAGACTTTTTCTACTCCTGTAAATGGTTCAGTCTCTGAAACCCACAGGGGCAGTTCTACCCTGTCTTTTAGGGTCACTGTAAGTTAGAATTAACTCAATGGCAGTGAGTACTTTTTGAGTTCTTGATTCTAAAGTTATTTATTCTGTACAGATGAATTGATTTCAAATTGCCTGTCCTAAATTAGCTTAACTATTTATCAGTATAAAGAAAACTTACTGGCTCACCTACTTGTATAGTCCACCATGGCACAAAGGAAGGGAATTCTCCTTTTCTGAACCTGAGTGAGTTGATGACCAGAAAAATGTTTTTTGTATTGCAGCATGTACAAGGGGGCTTCAAAATGTTCATGGGGAATTCCATTGTCTTCCAACTCCATGAATTTTTTGAAGCCCCCTTGTACAAGAAGGGGCCCTTCCTCACTTGTATGTCTATTTAGGTGTGTTGGTGATTCAACCTGTGCAGGACAAAGAAAATTAGAGTGAGATGGAAGACTGGCAGTAGAGCGGTCTTGATTGGTATGGCAGGATGCATGAGTTTTGTAGAGGCAAGTAGACAACTTGGATTTGAACTGCCTTGCCAGCATCAGAGGGTTGACAGGGAGAGTCCACAGTAAACTGCTAATGGCGAGAGCTTCTGGTAGTGGTGTGCAGGGTATTGAACAGAGGGGTTGGAGTGGTAGATCTGGTGTGTAGTCTCCCAGTTCAGAGCTCTGCATTGAGGATGAGACCTTAGAAAGAGCCATCTGTCGGAGGCTTACTATTCAGAGGGCATCCATAGCCAATCAATGTTGACCAGAAAAAGGAGGACAACCAAAATGGTATACAGACCTGGATACCTTCCCTTCCATCAAACCCCATTACATGAGACCCATAAGCTATGTGGCTTTGTCCAAAGCTGAAATTAAAAAACTGGGATTAGGGACTTTTCTATAAAATAATATTACCCTCCCTGGAGAATGGACAACAGAAAAGTGGGTGAAGGGAGATGACGGACAGTGCAAGATATGACAAAATAATAAATTATAAATTATCAAGCATTTATGAGGGAGGGGGAGCAGCGAGGGAGGGGAAAAATGAGGAGCTGATGCCAGGGGCAAATGTTTTTAGAATGATGAGGGTAATGAATGTATAAATGTGCTTTACACAATTGATGTATGTATGGATTGTGATAAGAGTTGTATG